ACTTTGTCGAACTCCTCAAATTTGAATGGCTTCCTCCTCGAAGCACGCCCCCCCCCCGCCCCTCGCCGCCTTTGATAACAATTCTTGTCTTTGTCAAACTCTGCCAGCATTAAAACAAGCGGGCCGTGCGATTTCCGACGTTAAAAAATAAATACGAGCGCCATGGCTACCGTTCGACAGCTCGTACGCTAATAGTTCCATCATTCTTTTCCGCGCCAGCGCTCTCCGAGGCCGCGGTAACTGCGAGCTCGTTGCCCAAATTGAATCCAAACTGCGTCGGAACATGAAAAAGTGCGCTCGGCACATTCCCCGTCACTCATTTCAGTTGATCCAAGGAGATGCCGCCCAGTGTCGGATTAGCCGGGCTGGAACGTGTCCTCGCGAGGACTGCGTACACAGCGCATAAATCAACACGATTATCAGACTGCAGTTTACACAAGAAACTCCTCATAGTTAAGGAGACAGTTTTCAGTGGAGGATAAAGAGCGGGCTGCCAGATCGCCACCCTGAGATTAGGACTCGTCCGCAGCCAAAAAGGGAAGTGTTGTGTTTCGTAACAAGTTACATGACTTGATTATTTGTCCCGTGTTTAATTGTAACATCTTTGACAAATTAGCATTTGCTTTAACAGGCACTTTTCCACGGCAGTTAATAGTGAAGGATTGTGGCAGATTTTAATGGTTTCTCACTGGGGTAAAACTGCCCCAAGAGTCTAATAGGGCAGACTTTATAACCTGTCGAAAGAGGAATATAAATTGAATATTATCTCATGGGGGAAGGATCACCTGGACACAACATTCGATACTCCGATATACTCTAAATCAGTGGTTCTTAACCTGGGTTCGATCGAACCCAAGAGGTTTGGTGAGTCGGTCTCAGGGGTATCTTGAATTTGTAAAATATATATATATTTATTTTTCACTCATGAAGGGTTCGGTGAATGTGCATATTAACTGGTTGGGTTCGGTACCTCGAAAAAGGTTAAGAACCACTCCTCTAAATAGATCCAAACCAAGTGGACCTTATATCGAATGGTTTGCCCCTTCTTGTGTCAGTAAGATAACTACAGAAATCCCGCCCCCACTAAAAAAATGCAAAATTTTCTGTTGTGATCCACAGGGTCCTAGATACAAGTTTGAGGAACAGAAACAAAAGTCTCGTTTATTCAAGTTTGCTATTTCCAGTGATCACTCTTGTCCTGATCCCCCGTACAGTCGGAATACACTGACAAACAATTTAAATTAAAAAAAAAAAATGTATGAAAGCCTGCTTGGCTTTTTCAGATGCTAATATAGGCATTTCCCTTTCACCTGGGGATGAGCTGTGAACGCGGGAGATTTATTTGACTTACTCGCGCGGCTCACCTTTGAGACCGAGGCATTCCCCTGCGGAAGCGCGAAATGATCTCAGAAATAGAACGGTGCTTATGTGGGAACTTCCGCAACTCTCCTTCCATCTTTTATGGAACGTCTTCATTCAAATGCTTGAAAGTTGGCGTGCGCGCGCGTGTGCAACGGCCCAGAGGCTCCCGGGCTCCCTTCCCGTAATGAATGGTTAAACTGACACTCATCAGTGAGCACTTGGGGAGGGGTAGGGGGATCTTTTTTGCATTAATATGAGGAAGCGTTTTCATGTATTCCAGCCTGTGGCAAGTCAATCAAAGCACTTGAAGAAAGGGGATGAAGCGAATCGGTTTGGGGGGGGGTGAAGCTCTACCCGGTTGTCAACCGCGTTGTACCGCTCATTACGCACGGGGAGATCACTGACACGCCTGACTTCGGCACAATGACGGTCTGAACGGGTGTTTGCCTCAATATCAGCCCAGCAGTCTTGGGTGAAGTCTGCGTTTCGCCCCAAGTCTGCTGGGATGGGCTCCAACGCTCCACGACCCCGAACAGGATGAGCGACAGTGGTTGGCTGTCAGAGCCAGGAAGGCTTTCTCTGCTGACCTACATTCAAAAACTCAATTCTAAAATCTGTTCCAGAAAGTCATAGTTAAGGAAACCGGCCGGGGCTGGTTGTCACACGGGTTAAGTTGTCATATTGCAATGATCTCCTCCACCAGAGGGCGCAACTAAAAAGTGAAGACGACTAGTTTTCTTCCTTTATATGGTCAAGGGGTCACGTCCTGTCTGAGAAGAGAATAAGCACGCCATGAGCTGAGATGAGCGAGAAAGCATTTTCCATCCATCCATTTTCCGATCCGCTTGTCTACACAAGGGTCGCGGGCACGCCGGAGCCTATCCCAGCTGTTTTCGGGCAGTAGGCGGGGGACAACACCCGGTTTCCAGCCAATTGCCGGGCCCACAGAGACGAACAACCATCCGCGCTCACACTCACACCCCGGGACAATTTTGAGTGTTCAATCAGCCTGCCATGCATGTTTTTTGGAATGTGGGAGGGAACCAAAAGAAAACCCACGTGAACCCAGGCACGGGGAGAACATGCAAACTCCACACAGGAAGGCCGGAGTCGGAATCGAACCCAAACCCGGTTCCTGTGCACTGTGAGGTCGATGCGCTAACCACTGGACCACCGGGCCGCAGAGAAAGCATTTTGCACTACCCACATTTTTTAAAAAGTTGAAAACTTTATTTTGAAAAGCATCATCCGGATGCAAATTCTAGCAGAGATGCGCAAGATAACTAGAGCTACTTTTTTGCTAGTTTGGCGTAACATGTCTCGGTCATTTGGAGCTGTCACGTGACGTACAGTGTGCAAAGACTGGCCGAATGAAAAAAAAAAATGCACCCCTACGAATCCCCTGCGGGTAATAAGTCTGACGAGCGAGGAAAATTGTTTGCGGGGTTTGCGATCAGCATGCGTGCGGCGTCTTAGGGCCCAGAAGCTTGTCGTCAGGTTTAAGAACATGCCGGGCCGAGAACAGACAAGTAAATCAATACGACAACAGTCAGCAGATCCCAGCAATGACCCAACGCTTCCCCCCGATTGACCTCGTGAAAGAAAACTCACTTGGAAAAAGCATTTCTCTTGTTTGCGTTAAGGCAACTAACATGAGGAAATAATGATCCAACTTTCGTTGCTATGTCACTCACCATTTACTCAGAGAAGGACTCATTTCTCATCCTTTTTGTGAAATGAGCCCCCCACCCAAAAAAAAAAAAAAAAAAAGCCAGCAAGTCTTGAGTGGAGTTTATAGCAGCAAGCTTCAGTTAAAAGATCCCACAAAATTCTCACCTTTGAAATTTTCTAATTAATGAAATCGTTTCTTTTACAGTCACGCTTCATAGAAGTTGCACAGTAGAATAGGTGAGCAATAAAAATCTGCCTTTACAGTTTGAGTTGCCGCGACAACTACGCCACAAAGTCTTATTTTTCTTTCTCGTAAAATCCCATAACGGTGTGTGCTTTCACGCGGCTACAAGAGTCGAGCAAGTGTATAAAGTACTAATGAGACGGCTTACAGACATCCCCACACATTGGCTATGGCTCCGTCCAAACTGTCAAAATTGTCGAGTGAGTGTACAGGGACGTAGTAAAAAGGAGGAATAATTAAAAAAAGAAATAATACAAAAATCAGGCCGTCGAATAAAAATGGCTAGCCGCTCGCATTAGCAAGGTAATTAGCTTGCGCGGCAATGGTTGTGTGTGGATTACAAGCGTTTTAATGACCTGACGCATATCAAAATGAACCCATCTCAAGGGGTCTCATACAAGCAGCGAGTTCGGACGGCTGTCATCACCATGACGACCAAGGGGAAGTTGTCTGTGCCTGGTGACGACAATGGCCTTTTACTTGCGGAACCGAAGCTCTGACTGAGGGGAAAAAAAATACAAAAGCACACTCCCATAAAGATAATTAAAAAGCATTGTACTTGCAGAGGCAGCACTTCCCGCAGTACGCTTCGGGGGACAGTATGGCACATGGATGCGCTACCAAACTCAAATATTCCCACCGCCACGCCATCGACAACTTCGCCGAGCAATCAAGTACACGTTGATGACTCCAATCTTAACTTCATGCAGCTCTGCTTACCTTTGGGCTTTGATTTCACGAAATGATTTTGGTCGCAGGACCGTCGCACTCGTAGCGGTTTCTGCATGATGGCTTTCCCCGACTGTGAAGTCCAGTGGGTTGGGGTCTGTCGCTTGAAAGTGGCTCCGGATCTTGACCCAGCCCAGCCGATCATGTCATAGATGGAGAGTAACTTCATGTGTGGGAGGGCGGTTATTGGAATTAGACTCAGCTTTATGTACTGTATTAATAATAGCAAGCTATTCACCAAAAAAAACAGTTCCAAACAGTGGTTACAAAGGGCGTTTACGGAAACAAAACGCAGTGTTTGATCCGCTAACACCAGCCAAGCAAAATGCCTTCAAATGAAATCACCCAATCCGATTTTTGGCTTTTCTTGCTTGTAACGTGCATGCTACAGATTTATAATTGATGCCGACTGAGTCCTTCATGTGTTTACCCGTCGCCTTTATTGACAGGATTGTAGACGTTATTAGGCCACAGAGAGAGAGCGAATGAATTTAGAGGCCGCCTAATAAATATCAGGTGGCCGCCGAATCAATATCAGCCAGCTAGCCGAGCACGAGTGCTTTTCTCTCTCTCTCTCTCTCTCTCTCTCTCTCTCTCTCTCTCGCCTTGACTCACTGTCTCTATTACTTTCTCACGTTATTTCATTCTCCCACTCGTCCCTGCATGAGTCTCATTAAGACTGGCGCTGCGCTGGAACTCTTCCTCTTTTGCGACCCGCCCCCGCCCCGGCTTTGCGCGACACCCCGGCTCGATTCGGCCCCTTCAATAGCTCTCGTAAACAAAGTGTCAGATGTATAGACGGGCGGAGGTGGCGGCGGAGGTGCTGTTGGAAGTGGCTGAGCGGGAGACATCCAATTAAAAGCACAATGCATTCTCTCTTTTTTTTTTTTTTTCCAACACCACCCCC